CCATGTAAAAATAAATAAATAAAGGTCCATCAACAACTAAAAAAAAAGATTCAGGAAGCTCAGCAAACATCAAATAATTTCTACCTAGATGTACCATTCACAAACTGCAGGAAGCCAAAGACAGAAAATGTTGAAAGTAGCCAGAGGGGTAAAGCCCTTATCCATGGAGGGACAAGACTAAAAGTAACACCTGATTTCTCTTTAGCAACTAATACTGGAGTCCTAGGCTGGGGAGCCCTCATTCTGGGGGTCCCAACAGACCAGGTGCAGTCACTCACCCTGGAAACCAAGCAGAAAATGATGGGAAAAGGGAAAAGGAAGTTATTCAGTTTGGCCAGGCTGGGAAGGACAGGGGAAGCCCAGCATCCTCAGTCCTGTCTTTGGGTACTGGCAAGAGCTCTAGGATTTTACAGGGGAGGGACGAAAGTGCAGGGTGAAGACATATGCCTGGTCAAGTCGTCGTGGTCAGACTGTGTCTGGTTGGTGTCATCTCAGTATGAGCCATGAGGAGCCTTGTCACCTCAGTGATGAGAAAGCTGCTGCTGCCTGCCAGAAGTTTCAACCCTTGCCATGATGCATGCTTCCTTCTTTCTCTTTCTCCCTCCCCTTCCCCTCCCTCTCCCCTCCCCCTCCTCCTCTCCCACTCCCCCTCCCTCCCCCTCTCCCTCCTTCCTCCTCCTCCTTCTTCTTCCTCCCCCTCCCCCTCCCCTCCCCCTCCCCTCCTTCCTCCTCCTCCTCCTCCTCCTCCTCCTCCTCCTCCTCCTCCTCCTCCTCTCCTTCTTCTTCTTTTTGACAGTACTCAGGATAGAACCCAGTGGTGCTCTACCACTGAGCTCCACTCTCAGCCCTTCTTATTTTATTTTGAGACAGGATGTGGCGAGAGAGAGTGACTCAGAGGAAAAAAAAATTAAGTGAGAAAGGCAAGACGGAATTAATTACACAATGACTGAGTCCAGCTTAGGTGCAAGGTCTTTAGGTGCTGGTCCAGTGGTCTGGAACAGGATGTTGTACAGGTGGCAGTTGACATCACGCCCCTGCAAATCTTGAAACTATCTTCATCTCTCTTTTCTTGCTGCCTTCAGCCTTGAAGGCAGAGGATCACCAACTTTAACAAACATTCTTTAAATGATTAATATGTCTACCAGCAGATTTGATCAGGAATCTGACCCAAAGTTTATGCTAGCAAAGGAGAGAGGCCAAAGGAAGGCAGAGAGACCAAGTTTGACCCTGCCTCAGTTACCCAGTGGACATCCATGAGCCCAGCTGAATAGTTAGTGCTTTAGCAAGAATACCCTCAAAGTCCCTGTTACAAAATGACATAACTCAAAAGGGGAGAAAAATATTTATAACGATAAAAAAAGAAAAGCACCAATCTAGACTTCCATTTTCTGTGAAAGTAACTTTGCCAGTGACAGAGAAATGAAGAAACAGAAACTGGGGGAATTTGTTGCCACGTGATCTATCTTGCAAGTAATATTAAGAGATATTCTTCATAAAGAAGAAATATGAAATGAGTTAGAAACTCAGATCTACTTAAAGCAGAGAGCATCAGAAAAGGAATAAAAGCTGATACAAGTAATTGTTTTTCCTATTTTAACATGACCTAAGAAACAGTGATTTGTTCAAGGAAAAACAGCAAAAGTCGACTGGATGATTCTAGTGTGTGGGTAAGTGAAATAACTGGGAGCAATGTTCAAAAAGGATAATAAGAAGTTTGTAATTTCAAGTGGGCATGATTAGTGTAAAAATGTATTGCAAGTGTAAGGGTAGGCATAATTGTAACAATCATGTTGGAAGGTAGTATCTATTAAATTCTATCTAACTTTTTATACACAATCTATATGTTAAAATAGTCATCAAAAATCCATTTATCAAAGAGCAACAAGGGATGAATTTAAGGCAAATGTAACTAATATTCATTTCTTCTCATAAGGTAAAGGATGGTAAAGGTCCTAATCAGAAGCAAAACATCTTGGTATGATTTCATACTTATAGAAAAGTTGCAAATAATGACTTTTTTTTTAGTATATTCTCTAATTTCTATTTGTCTATAGATTCTTTTTTCCTGAATCATTGGCAAATAGGTTGCACCTATCATTCATTCTTATCCCTCAATATTTCTGTATTTCCTAACAAAGTAGCATCAAAACATGCGAGGCATAAAGAAGAATGAAATGTTGGCATTTGCCAGTAAATGGATGGAATTGAAGACTGTCATGCTAAGTAAAATAAGCCAACCCCAAAAAACCAAAGGTCAAATGTTCTCTCTGATATGCGGATACTAACACATGATAAGGGGCAGAGGCAGATAGAAGTTCATTGGATTAGACAAAGGAGAATGAAGGGAAGGGAGTGGGGATGGGAATAGGAAAGACAGTAGAATGAATCAGACAGAACTTTCCTACGTTCATATATGAATACACCATCAGTGTAAGTCCACATCATGTACAACCACAAGAATGAGAGATTATACTCCACATATGGGTGACATGTCAAAATATACTCTACTGTCATGTATATCTAAAAAGAACAAATTTTAAAAATTTTTAAATGCAAGGCAAAAATTGATTGAAGACAGTGAGAAATAGACAAACCCACTACTGTTGGAGATGTCAATATTTCTCAGTAGTTGAAAATCAGTGAGGATGCAGTTGACCGGAACCGCAATAGCAATGAACTTGATCTAAGTGACACTTATGTAATATTCCATTCAGTGACAGAAGAATACACACAGTCTTTAAGTTCACATGGAACATTTTCCAAGATTTGCCATATTCTGAGCCACAAATCACACCTTAGCAAATTTAAAAGAATAGAAATCATGAAAAGTATGCTGTTTGACTACAGTGGAATTAAACTAGAAAGCAATAACAGAAAGATAGCTAGAAAATCCCAAACTATTTAGAGATTAAAAAACACAGTTCTAAGAGTCAAAGGAAATGTCTCAAAATAAGTTTTTAAATATTCTGAACTTAATCCCAGTGGCTCAGGAAGCTGAGACAGGAGGATTGTGAGTTCAAAGCCAGCCTCAGCAATGGTGAGGCACTAAGCAATTCAGTGAGACCCTGTCTCTAAATAAAATTCAAAATAGGTCTGGGGATGTGGGTTAGTGGTTGAGTACCCCTGAGTTCAATCCCTGGTACCAAATAAATAAATTAATTAAATATTTTTAACTAAATGAAAATAAGAACCTAACTATCAACATTTATGGAATGCAGTAAAGACATGCTTAGAAGGAAATGTACAGCATTGAATACATATATTAGGAAGGAAGAGCCTGGTATGGTGGCACACACCTGGAATCCCAGCAACCTGAAAGGCTGAAGCAGGAGGATTGCAAGTTCAAGGCCAACTGGGGCAATTTAGAGAGTCCCTGTTTCAAAATAAAAAGGGCTATAAATGTAGCTCAGTGGTAGAGCACCTCCCGAAATGAAGGAGACCCTAGGTTCAATCCTCAGTACTGCAAAAAGAAAAGAAGTAAGATCTCAATCAATAATCTATGCTTCTATCTGAGGAAATTGAAGAAAAAAAAAAGAGCAATTGAAGCTTAATGCAAACAGAAGAAAACAAGCAATAAAAATTAACATAGAAATTAATAAAATTGAAGTTGGGAAAAGTGACGCACACACACCTATAATCCCAGCGACTCAGGAGGCTGAGCCAAGAGGATTACAAATTCAAGCCAGCCTCAGCAATTTAGCAAGGACCTGTATCAAAATTAAAAAATAAAAAGGGCTGGGGATGTAGTTCAGCAGTAAAGCACCCCTGAGTTCAATCCCCGGTGCCAAAAGAAAAAAGAAAAAAAGGAAGGAAGGAAGGAAGGAAGGAAGGAAGGAAGGAAGGAAGGAAGGAAGGAAGGAAGGAAAAATTAATGAAGTTGAAATAGGAAGGCACTAGAGAAATCCAATGAAACCAACGATCAATAAAATTGTAAATCTTGAGCCAGGCTTACAAAGAAAAACTAAACAAAACAAAACAAAACAAAAACAAACAAATAACTAAAGCCAGAAATAAAAGAAGAGTCATCACTATGAGTCCTATAGACATTAAAAGGATTAAAAAAATACTATGGGAAACCCTCCGCCTACAGAATTGATAACAGAAGAAGTGAACAAATTCCTGAAGTCATGAACTACCAAAACTCGAAAAGGAGTGTTAGACCATATGAACAGGACTCTGTCTATTAAATAAATTGAATCAGTAATGAATAGCCCTCTAAAAGAGAAATTCTAGTCCCAGATATTATCACTACTGGATTCTATCAAATATTTAAAGAGGAAATGATTTTTTTTCCTTGTGGTTTCACAGTGTCAGAAGTACCTTGGCAGAGAGTCCCAATTAGAGGATTTTTCCATACACTTTTACACTGCTTTAGTTTCTATCAACAAGACTATATTACTGTATTTGTCTTTTCTTGTGTGTTTAAAAGATCATTTTTATCCTTCTCTAGCCAGATGTGTAACAGAGTCTTGTTAAAAAACAACAACAAGCAGCACTCTCCCCACCTATCCCGTTGGTTGTTGGGGCTCATCTACTTCTGATTCCCCCAATCAAGGGTTTAAAGATCCTGCATGGACTCCAAGGGCTCATGGCCACCCAGAGCAGAACTGGCCCCCAACTCTGCAGGCTAGAAAAAGCTGAACAACAAATAGGCATTTAATTTGGATTCTAATTTTTCTAAAAAGACTTTTTTTGTGGGGGACAGAGTTGTCTGTTGGGTGGGGATAAGGAAAGCTGAGGCAGATGAAAGTGCAGAGGTCACAAGGAACCTTCAGGAGGGACCTTGAAGTTCTAGCAGCCCCAGCCCAGCCATGTGACTTTGAGTGGCTTTTAGTTCCCCCAAGAGCCAACCCACTGCCATCAACATCTGCTTTCCTAGGTTTTATTTCTTGTAGTCTTGTTCTCTTGTGGACCTGTGGAATGGGCTGGGGAGACATATGTAACAAATGCAGAGGTGACCTTACCACAGATGAGGACAAGGAGAGGAGGCTGGGACTTACCTGAAACTGAGACTTTGGGTCCACGTCTGCCGTCCCTACTGCTGGCCCCTGGGCCGTGCGCTTGGCTTAGCCGCAGCTGGGTTAGATTTCCACTACCTCTGTGCCATCCCAGAGATCAGAGGAGAAACCCCGCCAATTGGTCAACCCCTCCATCCCTCGGGGTTTGCGTCAAAAGGGGAAGAGAAAAGTGAAATTGCCCAATCATGTGAAGTGGCTGCACCAAGCACCAATACTCTAGCCTGTGCCCTGGGGAGGAGGAACGGGCCAACCCAGGAGTTCCTGAAAGACAGGGTGGGAAAGTCCATTCAACTAACAGGGACCACTGTTGTCCTGAGATGAGGTGGCATGGTTCGCACGGGGGAAGTAAATGCCATGTTTGCCCCTTCCACTTGCCACGGTGGCTGGGAAAGTGAAGCTTTGAGAATGTTCTCTCAGGCCTGTGCCTGGCCAGTCACCTTGGCCAGCCTGGACTGGAGGAGTCAGACTTAGTTATTGGAGGTGGAGACTCGTGGCATTATAAAGCTCTCAGCCTCTCTGGAGAGCATCCAGAGGTAGGAAAAGACTCTTCCCACTCCTCCAACCAAAGGCAGATGCAGAGAATTGGAGCAGAGAGGCCAAAGTGGAATTCTAAGTTGCTTGTATGTACGGGCACTTCACAACCACAGCCAGGGTGCCTGGGAACATCAGCTTCAACCATTTCATCAGAACTCGGAGGAGAGCCTCCTGGATGGAGGCTCAGAGCTGAGATGATCTAGACCTTCAAAGACAAGGTGATGCGGGAAGACAGGGCATCTTTTTTTTTGGTTATTTGTTTTTTTACTATACCTGACCCTCATTCTGAAAAGGATCTGAAACAACTTTCAAAAACAACTACATGGATATAAAGTTGAAAGACAAAGAAATTGGAGCAAAAGACAAATGAAGCAAATAAATAAAAGCAGAAATCCAGGCAGAACAATGGGTCTGAGACGGAGGCAAATGGGAGACAGGGGGTGCCTGCAGGACCGGGCGGAGACAGCACGGGCAGAACTGTCTCTTTACCTCCCTGTGACCGTGGGGCCAAGAGACCCCAGCCTGCCTCCTTGCTCCCACCCAGATTTAGGCCAAGTCAGTGGTAATCCCTACAGGCAAGTTGAAGCTCTCATTTGGCCTGGAAGATTCCTGTCCATGTGGCTGAGCACGCCAGAATCCACACGTGGAACCAGGAGTCACCACAATCTGAACCTGCGACTTTAGGCAAAGCCTGCCGAATTCCAGCTGGTGAACACAGACAGGGTGCTCACTTCCTTTCATGTCCAGTGTTGAGAGCCACAGCCAAAGGGGCCCCAGCAAACTTTCAGACTGCCAGCTGATGATTGGCTCACGGGGGGGGGGGGGGGGGGGGGGCAGCAACTTCTAGCTGATTGGCTCCTCTGCGGTGATGCTCATTGGGCTGTTTCCCCGCCCTTTCAGATGACGTAGCTGCTCATTGGGGGACTTTTTTTGGCTCCGCCCACGCGACCCAGCCAATCAGCCTCGAGAGCAGGAGGAGTGGGGGAAGTTGAGAGGCTTATGGGAAGCCGGTGGTGGCAGTTGGGCTCTGAAGGTTTTTCCTGAGGAGCTGTTTTGTTTGGCGTGTGTGGTTCTAAAAATAAAGTTCCTTTCTTTTGACAAGTGGCTCCTGAATTGTGCCCAGCCAGACTGCGGCAGTCCAGCTATGTCAGGTGACAATCCCAGAGAGACCACACAATCTTTAAAGGTGCGTTGCTCACAATTCATACCCTGGTGCCCAATTTTTGAATCAGTCAGGATTTGGGATACAAGTAACCAAACTGATTCCGGCTAACTGGGGTAGAAAATCATCGTCTTAGAAGCGTATTGGGGGGATTCCACCTCTTGGGTCCCCTTCTTCCTCCGGGAGAAGTCTTTTCTCATGTCCTTTAATAAACTTCTAATTTCTACTCTGACCTTGCCTCAGCGTGCTTCTTTGGTGTTATTCTTCAACATTGGGGAAGCAAGGACTCGTCACCGGTCAACAGCGGTAACATATTGGAGGTCCCAGACCGAGATTCTACACCGAGGTAAGTGCACGCACCCCATGTCTGTTTGAGGTGCATCTTTCTCTCTCTTTCTTTCTGGAGGGTAAGGTGGGCACCCGACGGCTACTTAAAAGCAATTAGTGCAGCCGCCACTCTTCAAGACTCGGGTGAGAGGTTTCCCGGCCTAGGCAGCTCTCAATCACCTGTTCAATACAGAGCAGGCATGTTGGGTTCTGCCAAAGCCGCTTCCAACTTTTCTGTCTGGGCCTGGAGAGCAATTGGCGTGAGTACACAGTGTCCCGAATCCCAATCTGCCTCGGATGCGTGGAGGTGGAGGAAGGAGTTTGGAACAACTGCGGAATTCCAGTCTGGGCTACACTCAGAGGATTCCTAAGGTTCCTTTCTCTTGAGCCCCCTCCCGACAGCCCTCAGGGGTATCTAGGGTGATCGGTAGATGAATGGCACTGAGGGAAAGCCCCAATCACATTTGCCTCTGTATGGGCTACGCAACACTCCCAACCCCGCATCCATTCCTCCTGGATGCTCCCCTTCCTTTGCAGGTCAGAAATGTTAGCAATTCAGGTTGTAGGACTGAGAGAAAGGCATTGGATAATTTGCAAAATCTGCCCAGGTTCCCTAAGATGCATAGGTAACTTTAACTAGTCTGTTTTACCGCCCCAATGTTTAAAATGTGTTGTGTTCCCTAAGCTGCTAGAGAGGCATTTTTAGATCAACTCCTCTGGTAATCTGCTACCTTACAACCAGTAGATATCCCTTAACACTTAGGCGGCTCCTTTAGTCTACAGAGCAAAGGCAACAAAGAGCGCATGTTTCTCTTTTGCAATGGGTTTTTAGTGGCCAGGAGGATAAGCAGTAATGCCCTTAAGTCTGAATCCTCCCAGGGTCTCGGGCACAGGGCAAACTGAGACCCTAGCACTTTGCTAAAGGGGACCAGAAACCCCTTGGCAAAGCAAGGTGAGAGACGGGTTTTCTGGACCGTTTAGGAAGCTCAAACTTAGGGAGACGTCCCTAATGAGAACAGTTTTCTCTGGCGCGGCGTGGGCGCCTGAGTCCTGTTTTCTTCTCACTCAGACGGGAGCTTCTCTCTCTCCAATACGCCAGGTGCACCACTAGCCTGCGTATTAAAAAATTGGGATAGATTTGAACCTCAGACGCTCAAGAAAAAGCGCCTCATTTTCTTGGCCTGGCCTCAATACAAACTCTGATGAAGAAACCTGGCCACCAGAGGGAAATATCAATTTTAATACAATTTTACAGTTTGATAAAATTTACAAAAAAGGAAATGGTGTGAGGTGCTGTATGTTCAGATTTTCTTTGCTCTAAGGGAAAATCCTAAATTATGCCAACAGTGTAAAGTAGACTTAGCTATGATATCTGCCATGAAGAGAAAAAATCTTGGACTCACTGAGGAAAAAGAATCAGGAGAAAAATTTGGGCCGATCAAAGTACATAACCCCTTCCCCCTTCAAGACCTAAGGCAGATAAAAACTGACTCTACTGGAAAGTTAAGAGATATGCCAGATTGCCTGGGATTGGATCTATCCAAAGGAGCTAATCCTGTAAGTAAAAGGGAAACTGAGGTACTCCCAGCAGCTGCCAGAGCCATTTTCGCTTTGGGGAATTTCCTCATCCTTCCCTGCACTGTAAGGATTGCTCCATCTCTGTCCACTTAAAAAGAAGGGACACTGAATGCAGTAAAGTCAGTCACACTGAGACCCTTGATTTTACACCTATAGTTGCCCCTCTGTGAAAACATCTGGTCCACTCATGGGGAAATCTATGGTGCCACTGCTAGGAGTCATAATTAAATGGAAGTTAAAAACCTGGAGAGATTTTTCTCTTATCTGGTCTCTCTATTTTAAAGGTTATTATAGATTGTTTCTTGGGGATGATCTTGGCTAAATGTGTGTCTAAAAGATGATTTTTTATTGTAACAATCTGGTATCTAAATGAGTTTGAAGCATTGCATAATCTTGCAGTTAAAAGTTGGGGTTAGGTAATTGTTTAGTTTGTGATTTCAGATAATTCATGCTGGAGAACTTAAATACTTAGGATAGAAAATTAAAAGAATTCTACTTCCAAGTTGGCAAGTAACTCCCAATCATTTAGTTTTATTTTGAACTGGGTAGCCTGAGAAGATTTCACTAGGTGTACCAGAGCATTAACTTGGGCAAGGATAGTAAATTATGATATGGTATCTTTCCCCTCAGTGTGTAAGATTTAGGAAAAAAATGTTGAATTGGAACGTTGGTCTGGCTTATTGAAATAACATTGAATAGCAACAGTCTTAAATTTTTAAAGCTTAATTTTGGATATACATGGTAGTGTGTGGTTCTCTTTTAAAATTTTTTTCAAATGACTTAATGTAACTTAATACTACTTTAGGAACTTCAGAACAAAGGAAGTGACTTAATGATCCTAAAGAAATTTCTTCTGATGGTAGAGATCCTATTTTCAGTTTTGTGTGAGCAAGTTTTTCTAGTGTAGGAAAATGTAAAGATATGAAATTTTGTAAATTGTATCTTAAACTTGTATCATAATTTTCAACATCCAAACCTGAAAATTGTGACTTATGGTTAAAATGCCTTAGGCATGAGGTTTCTGCTCAGAATTCCAGTTTTCCCAGTTCCTTCCAGACCTCAGCCAGGACTTAAGTTGATATGCAAATAGAAGTCTGGAGCACTTAGTAGGAGACAGATCTGAGGCCCAAGAAAAAAAAGAGTAAAAGTGTCTTTTTATGGGAACTCAAACTAGATTAAACCAAAGAGTAAATTGTATGGCATTTACTAATTACTGGCCGGTCAATTTTTTCTAGGACTTTTGCTTTTTCTTAGATTCTGTATTTTTTTTTTTAGTTCATGATTTTGATCCTACAGACAAGTTAATGTTTTTCTGATAAGTTCTATTTTTGATCAACTGGAATTTTTTTAAACATTGCAATGAGATTTCACCTGAAAAAGCTACAAGGCCTTTACTATTGTGTTGTGTTACACTTGTGTTACGTGTTGTATGTCGGTATGTCTGTGTGTATGTCCATATATCGTGCAGTGATATGACAATTGACAGATGAGGAGCGCTCATGAAAAATTTTTAAAAAATGGATCCAAATATCTTTGATTCACGTGATTCAAATGGCTCAATTTAAATTTGGTAAATAGATGAAAAAATATGTCTATAAAATTTACAAGTATTGTTTCAAAATGTGAACAGAAAAAAGTTAACAGATGAGAAAGAGAAACTAAAAGGTTCTAGGTATGGATTTAATAGAGGGAAAATGTGTTTCTGGATAAGAGTCTATATGATTAAGTAATTAAGAGGGTTTAAGTAAATGATATAAAAAAGGTCTGTGTAAGTTGCTTATAAGTGTAAGTTTTTGAGCAAGTAATCTTAAAGAAATTAAACAGCTGGTTAAACAAGTACTGTTTTTAGAGAATTGTGCCATGTTATTTCTTTAAAAAGCTAAACTTGATTAATATAAAAACATCAATGTAATTGTGGTGTTAATGTGTTCATATCTTCCAGGTATACAAGTCTGTAAGGTAGAAGTTTTAAAAGAGCATTGTATCAAGCTGGTGTTCTAAAGTTGTATGGTAATTTTAGGCTTAAAAAGAAAAACATGTTGCAGATTTATTTATATCATTTGTGTTCTATAACTGGATTTGTTATCAATAAGATATGTAAAGTTCTATGTTACTTTTTACACTGAGATACAATTTAAATGTATTTTTAAGTTAATGAGAGCCTAATCTGTGTGAAGGTTTTATTGCAAAACACAAAAGTACTTTGCTACTTTTCTACAAAAGGTTAAAAGCTTTCAGCCTTTCTTTAATTCATGTTTTAGATGTGATATTATGTTGTGTTTGCTCAAGTTCACAACAATTTATGTAGGCTTTGTAAAATGATGTTTAAAAAGCAAAGATCAGTTTCAGAACTACAGTACTTAAGATTTATGAAGAGCACTGCCTTACTTGAGATAAGGCTCTGTCCCATCTCACTGCATGTGAAAGTGACTATGGAAGAAGTAGGCCAGATTTCAGTACATTTAAAGTTGTGTCCAGAAGTTGGTTTTTGTCACGATTACCAGGATCTCAAACAAGGGATTATAATGTATAACTCTACCAAAATTCAAGGTAGCTATTACATGAACTAAATATGTTTTTACTCTTGATAATTTTATTTTGTAGTTTTCTTATAAATGATTTAAGATTGCCTGTTAATGTTTTGCAGAGGTACTGCTTTAAGAACACACAACCTGGGTTAATTTAAGATAAGGAGTTATCACCTACAGGAGAGAGAGATAGACATTAAAGCCCAGTACTCTTAGTATAAGGCTGTTGAAACTTATTTGCTGGATGTTTAAGATTAAGTTTTAAAATTAAAGTTAAATTAAAAGGGCCAAGAAAACCAATATTTGGCTCTTGCCCTCTAAGTCAGTCTGAATCAGGGAATAGGGGACTTCTCCAAAGAGCTTTGCAACTCTAGGCCACATAACCTCCCGATCAGGGAGATTAATGAGACCAGTGGAGGACAGAAAGCCAATCAGTGCATTTGCTGTGAAGAGGAGGGTCATCAGAAAAGGGAGACATCCCTGATGCTTCCAAGGGAAGCCACATGGTCAAGCAAGGCCTGGACCCATCCTAGCGCAAATGGCACTAGCAGAACTGAGAAGCTGCTGTAAGTTCCCAGAGGACTCCCAGGGAAGCTCAGCTGACTGTTAACAATAGATAAAAACAAAAGTCAGTTTGACTTGCTTCATCTTAAACACTTAGCAAAGACAGTCAAAGCCAAAGCACAGCTGTTCTTGGACATTTTAAATAATAATAATAGTTAAATGTAACTTCCAAAAATAAGTAAACTGGAGGCTGCAAAAGAGATTCTCAGACAGGAATGCCTGATAACTATCAAAAGGAACTGCCAGAGTAGTTTTTAGTTTAAGGCCTTTATTTCTAACCTACACAGGTAGGCTTAGTGTTTGCAAGTATGGTTATCCAGCCCTAAGTAACAGAATTAAAAATTTCTCTATTAGACACAGAGGTCATACTAGTAAAAGGATTTTTCAAGATCAGACGACATTAAATTATTAAACTGTATCTTAAGGAAAAGGACATCTGTAACCCTAAAAGTTAAATGTTGTGTTTACATCCCTGACATTTCTCGCAATGTGACAAATATCCTTAAAGATTTACATGCTCAGATAGAAGCCATGTCCTCAGCAACTTTGTCATGGAAACAATATCTTAGCTCCTGGTTCTTGGTACTTCCTGGTGGAAAACATTGTTAGTCTTTGTCTTTGCCATCATACTCATTGGCATATTCCTGTGCTATCGCATTTATTGCTGCATCAGTATGGTTCCAATACTAATGAATTCTTGTTTCTCTTATAGACCATCCATCACTCAAATGGCCCTCCAGACTATTACTTCTCAATCAGACTTCTATCATGGACCACTCGATAGACCAGATTTTTAAAGGGGGACTCCAAACTGCTTGCCCCACATCGTCCCTTTTCAGCCTGAAGAAGCCAGAAAGATCTTCTTCGCCCCCCTTCCTTACAGCAGTAAGGAGTTCCCAAATTAGAGGGGGGAATGAAGCCAGATTTAAAGTTAGGTAGTCAGTGTAGTTAGATAAATCGGGTCTAATGCCGAGTGAAATCTAAAATGGAGGCTATGCTGGCAATGATTCTGGGAAACGCAGGACAACTCATGGAATGTTAATGAAGTCCCGAAAAGGCCCTAGGCCAAAGTCCACCTCAAAGAAATGTTAATGAATAGCCCCCAGCAAAAAGGTGCTGACTCAGAAGTCCTTCCTGACCAGATTACTTCTTTGGCCCACCTGTGTCCCACTCCTCGGGCCTTCCCACCTACATTCCATCACTGAAAGAACTATAAAAAGGGGAAGACAACATCACTTCCACAGATTCCACCTCTTGGGTCCCCTTCTTCCTCCGGGAGAAGTCTTTTCTGCTGTCCTTTAATAAACTTCTAATTTCTACTCTGAAAAAAAAAAAAGAAGCATATTGGGTCACTCACAGAATTTATAAGCCACTGGAGGAGCAGGCCAAGAAGATAGGCAGTTCAGGAAGATCCCCAGCCATCTCTTTTCACAGGTGCACAGTGTGGGGCTGTTGATTCAGTAATGTTCTCTTTCCTTTTGGATTAGAAAGAAGGATCCCAAACGGTTTGCTTTTATATTCAATACATAAGAATATTAATTATGATTTTGTTTTGGGGTTCAATTAGCTCACCTGTCTTTTGTCATAATAGATTCAAAAAGGTCTGGAACACCTGACATCCATAGAACGTGCCACTGATGGATCACATTGGTGACATCATACTAACCAGACAGGATGAGCGAGAGGTGGCCAGCACATCAGCTAGAGAGCAGGAAGGAGTCTCAAAAGTATTATGATGAGCCAGAAAAGCCACATACCAGAAAGTGCACACCCTAGGTTTCCATTTTTGTAAAATTTAGTACAGATGGAACTAATCTGCAGTCACACACAGATGGTCTACCGTTGCCCATTGCTGGGGTTGAGGAGGGAATTTTCTGCAAAGGATACAGGAGAGCACTCTGGTGTGTTGAAGATGGACTGCATCTTCATTGTGGTGGTGCCGATATTTGCTAAAATTCATCACAATGTTCACTTAAGTTGGATCCATTTTATATACCCATAAAATTGAGCTAAGAAGAATTATACGCACAGTGAAGCACATCTGTAATCCCAGGGGCTCAGGAGGCTGAGGCAGGAGGATCACGAGTTCAAAGCCAGCCTCAGCAAAAAGCAAAGTGCTGAGCAACTCAGTGAGACTCTATCTCTAAATAAAATACAAATTAGGGCTGGGGATATGGCTCAGTGATGGAGACCCCTGAGTTCAATCCTGGAACCCCACCCCAGAATAAAGAATATTCATAATAAGCCCTCACTACAGAGGTCACTTGCATTGAAATTAACAGGCAAGGTTTTCCCCTTCTTACTGTGTTCTTGAGCATGTGTTGCTTAGAATAAACATCTTTTATCCTTATTCACTCTTTCTCATATAATAACCTTTGCCTGATCTGACATTTTGACATTCTTCCCCGCCCTTTCCTTCACCCGTGCTTTTGCATCTCTGGTGCATCTCTGAGCAAGTCTGGAGGAAGTTCTTGCTGCTGACCTCTCCCTCCATGAAAGGTTTTCCAGGTGAAGTGGAGGGGCTTAGGAAATGCAGTGTGACCCTGACATAGACAGTCACTACCTATCGCCAAGGATCCCCTGCACCCGCAGCACTTAGACATCCTTTTGTGCTACCCTGGGCTTGCTGTGGCTTCCACCGTTGTCCCCACTGCTGGGACGGACTGCACTGGGCCTGTTGCTCTGTCCCTCCCTGGCGGGCAGATCGTGGTCACACCTCCTCGGGAAGCATGGCGGGCTCTCTCTCCTGCAGGTCTCCTTGTTTCAAGTGTCCATAGACCCCAGAATCATATTTCGCATCTTTTTTCCTGAGGGCTTCATAGGTTTCCTGGAATGGGGGACTCCTGGGTCAACTACATTTAAAATTAATGACTTAAATAGAGTCAAGCAGATGGCTAAATTTCTCACAGATCTCCAAGCCCATGCACACTAAGAATCTTTAAAAGGGGTGTGCTGAAGAGGGCGCCTGTGCTCTCTCCTTGCCTCACTGATCTGGAGTCCTCTCCTGGCTTGGCTCAGCCTCTGCGTGATCCCAGCTGGTGCTCAGGTCCCTTTATTTGCAATGTTCTCATATAATCGTCTTATCCTGATAAACTCTAGGCTTCTCTGGCACATCTTCCTTAGCTGTTGATGTGGTTTTGATGGTGTCTAGTAAATTTATTCAGTTTAGAACATTTCATCACCCAAGAAAGTACAGAATGAGGAGGAGTCATTCATTCCGGGGAAATGGAAGTGCGTAGCGAAGGGGACAGCGGTGGATTCCCAGTTCCCTGGCCCAGGTCTGGTCCCCTGGGCCTGCCTCCTCCCCGGTCTCCCACTTGGGGCTGGGAGACAGCGGCTCCTCCCCACCCCCTGGGGGCGTCCGAGCCGGCGGTGAGGGAGGCTGCGGGCAGCGGCCTCCGCTTCCTGCCTGAGGTGCTCGTCACTTTCGCTTTCCTTTCCTGCGCCACCAGGCCCGGCACAGGCACTTCCTGTTCCTCCGCCTGGCCTCGGCGTCCCTGCGGTCCTCCCAGGCTTCCCGGGGCGATCGCTGGCCCAGCCCCTAGACCTGGAAGGGGCCCGAGCGGGCGGGGAGCCAGCCCCCAGGTAAGTGTCTGCCTGTCTGTCCGCGCTGCCCTTCAGTCTCGGTGGACGGGCTTTTATAACTGGCAGCCACCCCAGGGTGGAGCTCGAGGATTTAAAATCTAAGGCTCTTTTTTTGTAAAGGAGTGTTTTCCAGAGGTGGAGGAGGCACGCGGGCTTCTCAGGGGACTGGTAAGACGCGGACGTGCAGCGCAGCTGACCCACGGCCCAGCTCCCTTCCCTGGGGGCCAGCCTGTTGCAGAGGGTGCAGCCGAGATTCGCCATCTCCCCAACCCGACCCTGCGTCTACCTGCGTTATCCACTCCACAAGCCACCAGCAGAGAGACTGGTGGAAAAGAGAAAATAAGGAGAGTCCTTTTAATTTCCTCTCTAGCATGTCATGAACTTTTTATCTAGTTTCTTTAAGCATGTTCATCATTATTTCCTTGAAATAAATTTCCAAGCCTGGCTGGTGGCACACGCCTGTAATCCCAGAGGTTGGGAGGCTGAGACAGGAGGCTCATGAGTTCAAAGCCAGCCTCAGCAACTGCGAGGCACTAAGCAACTCAGTGAGACCCTGTCTCTAAATAAAATACAAAATAGGGCTGGAGATGTGGCTCAGTGGTTGAGTGCCCCTGAGTTCAATCCCCAGAAATTTCTGGAGGTGGAAATTTGAAGGAATACACATTTTAGGACATTTGATGCTGGTTGCCAAATTAGCCACTTGGAGGATCTCAGCCTGTTTGCATTTCCATCCAGTGTCTGAGATTGTTGCTGTTATTTTCTGTCTTGGCCAAGACAGGCAGGTGTGCGGTCACATTGTCTTTCTGTGCATGTTTCTAATGACTAGCAAGTTAAGCTTTTCACAGATCGTTGCACATGTGGCTTATTCTTCTCTTAGTTGCCTGCTCATGTTTTTTTTTTTTTTCTTCACTTAGACGTTTGTATTTTGCTTATTTATTTGCAAAGTCCCTTTACATAATAAAAATCTGAACATAGTCATCTATGAGATGTGGCATCTTTTTTTTTTTTTTTAAGAGAGAGAGAGAGAGAGAGGAGAGAGAGAATTTCAATATTTATTTTTCAGTTTTTGGCAGACACAACATCTTTGTTTTGTATGTGGTGCTGAGGATCGAACCCGGGCCGCAGGCATGCCAGGCGAGCACGCTACCGCTTGAGCCACATCCCCATCCCAGACATGTGGCATCTTGCATAGTGAGGAAACAGGAAATAAAGAGTCAGATAAACCCTGCTTTGCCCCTGGATGCCTTGGGCTGGTTACTTAACCTGCCTCATTCTCATCTTTCAGGATGAGGAAGGAGGAGTTTGGTGAGGTCCTATTTGGAATGCTGTTGTATGATGAAGGGTCCTAAGTGAAGCCGGCGGTTGGTGTGGGGGTGGCCTCCGGCTGCCTGTCAAGTACTCCTTCTGGCTCCCATTGACTCTGGACTCACCCTTACACTCTCTCCTCCCTGTGCACACCATTCTCTTATCTTCTAGGATTTCTTCATGAAGCCCGCATCTGTTCTCCTTTACCACTGCTGTTGTGGATTATTATTATTATTATTAATATTTTTGTTTTATGTATTTATTTATTTGTATATGGTGCTGAGGATGGAACCCAGTGCCTCATGCATGCAAGGCAAGTGCTCGACCACTGAGCTACAACCCTAGCCCTGGATTATTCTTTTTTATCTTTTTTTTTTTTTTTTTTTGCCAAATTTCAATGGGAGTAGAAGCACTGAATGTACCACTGTCACAAATGAAGCTGGAGAAAGTAGTGCCATGTTGCCTTGTCTTTTAAAAATCTCCAGGTGACTGTGTCTTTGTTAGTGCCTCCCTGTTGTCAAGGTCATCTGCAGATTTTCTGCCTGTTACAATTTGTATTTTCCATGATTCATAAACAGTCGGTTTTGTACTTGTCACGTAGGCACGGCACAAGGCGGGTGTGTCTGTTGTAAGACGCGAGTGGTCAGGTGAAATAAACCACTGAGGTCACCCTGGCTGATCAGACTTTCACAATCCTTCATGGTTTTATTTATTTTTTCATCTGCTTATGTCAAAACGTTGGGAGCTGCTTATTAGAATTCGTAAATACTATCAGGTTTCCATCTACCCATTTCCAAGTGGTCCCTGTTCCCTGAGCTTGGCTGGTTGACAGCTCAGGCTGCAGCCCAGGCCATCCAGTTTAACCCAGCTCCGTGTGGCTGTGAGTATAGACCTACAACTCAGAAGCCTGCAGCCAGCAAGCTGGGGTTGTTCTCAGTTCTTCCCCTGCCAAGCTGCACAACCCAGGGCGAGGTTCATGAATTTCTGTGTCATTGTGCTCAACAGCTAAGTGGATGGAATCAGAGCAGTCAGCTTGCAGGGGTTTGTGAAGATCCAATAAGCTACTGCGCATGAAACCCTTAGAACAGAGGGGTGCACAGGAAACAGTCAGTCACACCAGCAGTTTTTAATATCCACCTCAAGTTCACGGGAGGCCCCTTGGGGATCTGGGCATCATCGGGCCAGAGCCTCTCAGCCTTTATTGTTGCTGGGCCCTGCCTTCTCCTCCCTATGTCTTTGAGTCCTTTAAGCAGACATTGCTTGTGGACTGCTAAGGGATGCCTTGGGGACCTGGATGTCTGTCTTGTGTGCCTCTTTCATGCAGAGAGCAGCTCCCCGCACACCTGGGAGGTTTTCCCCTGTTTTCTCATTCTGCCTCTCTCCATAGGATGATCACTGTGAGCGGGGCCATGGAAAAGGCTCTTCTTCAGCATTTCATATGCCGGAAGCTGGAGATTTCCTATGCCATACAAAAGCCATTTCCCTTCTTTGAAGGCCTCCGAGACAAGTCCTTCATCACTGAGAAAATGTACAGGGTGAGTGGTGTGGACCCTCCCCTTGGCAGCCCAGTCCCTACCCAGTGTGCCCTGTAACAGATCTCACACCACCAACCACCAGGGCCTCCAGGGTGTGGGAGGCCCAGCAAACACGTCGTACATGATCACAGGATGGGCGGTTGGAAGACAGGGTGTCCTAGGGGCTGCCTTCCTTTGACAGTGCCATGGGGACCACCATGGTGAATCACCACAGACCAGGTGGCTTGAAACCACAGAAATTCATTCTGTCACAGTTCCTGGGGCCATAAGGCCAGAATGAAGGTGCTACAAGGTTGTTCCTTCCAGAGCCTCTGGAAGAACCTGCTGCCTGCCTCTGTTTTAGCTTCTGACGGCTGGTTGCTGGCACTTCCCAGTATTCCCTGCCTTGGGGACGCATCGCTCCGATCTGTTCCCATCTCTGTGTCACCTTCTCTCTTCTGTGTTTCCTCACTTTTCCTTTCTTCTAAGGGTACTTGCATTTAGGGCATCTGGAGCCCACCCTAATCTAAGACGATCTCATCTCAAGATCTGTAGCCTAATTTAATCACATTCTGCAAAGCCCCCCTTTCCAAACAAGTTCACATTCATTCACATCCACGGCTCCGGATAGGCATCTCTCTCGGGGTCGGGGGAGTGCCATTCGACCCACTGCATCCTCAGGTATTGCTCACAGTCCCTGCTGATATAAGGCAGGGCTGTCCACATAGGGCCATGTGGACAAAAGTGGCTCCAGGCCCAGGAAAGTGCCAGCCATGCTGGAACAGTCATGTCCCCGGCTCGGCCTGGGTGGCTCCAGCTCTCCCTCAGATCACAGCCAGACAGCACTCCTCAGAGGGGTCTCCTCCCCCGCTCGCCCCGCCCTGCACCCTGAAGGATCAATTGCACAGTGGCACCCTTTGGCTCCACTTTCCTTCCTTAAAACTCTCTCTTCCATCCAATGTTCCTGAAAGTGGAGTTCACAAGAAGACTGAATTATTTTCAAGAAGGCTGCATAAATTATTTATTCCTACAACTAGGCACCCCAGCATATGTGAAGTGAACATGTGGAGCTGCGACCTCTTTACCAGAGAGGATCAGGTCCAAAGTTTATATCATATGTCTTCTTTTTTTTTTTTTTATTGGTTGTTCAAAACATTACAAAGCTCTTGACATATCATATTTCATACATTAGATTCGAGTGGGTTATGAACTCCCATTTTTACCCCAAATACAGATTGCAGAATCACATCAGTTACACATCCACATTTTTACATAATGCCATATTAGTGACTGTTGTATTCTGCTACCTTTCCTATCCTCAACTATCCCCCCTCCCCTCCCCTCCCATCTTCTCTCTCTACCCCATCTACTGTAATTCATTTCTCTCCTTGGTTATTTTCCCATTCCCCTCACAACCTCTTATATGTAATTTTGTATAACAATGAGGGTCTCCTTCCATTTCCATGCAATATCCCTTTTCTCTCCCTTTCCCTCCCACCTCATGTCTCTGTTTAATGTTAATCTTTTCCTCCTGCTCTTCCTCCCTGCTCTGTTCTTAGTTGCTCTCATTATATCAAAGAAGACATTTGGCATTTGTTTTTTAGGGATTGGCTAGCTTCACTTAGCATAATCTGCTCTAGTGCCATCCATTTCCCTGCAAATTCCATGATTTTGTCGTTTTTTAGTGCTGCGTAATACTCCATGGTGTATAAATGCCACATTTTTTTTATCCATTCATCTATTGAAGGACATCTGGGTTGGTTCCACAGTCTAGCTATTGTGAATTGTGCTGCTATGAACATCGATGTGGCAGTATCCCTGTAGTACGCTCTTTTAAGGTCTTCAGGGAATAGTCCGAGAAGGGCAATAGCTGGGTCAAATGGTGGTTCCATTCCCAGCTTTCCCAGGAATCTCCATACTGCTTTCCAAATTGGCCGCTATCACATGTCTTCTTAAAAGAGTAAACTTGCTTTCCTGTAACTTAGAAAACCACAAACGTATAATGACTCTCCATTCAGTTCTGAATCCTCCATACTAATCCTTCCCTCCATGTTTTAAAGGAATCGCTGGAAGCCTGTACAAATTTGGTCCCTGTGTCCAGAGTGGTGTACAACACTCTCACCCAACTGGAGAAGACATTTAACCTTTCACTTCTGCTGACATTGTTCAGCCAAATTAACCTGCGGGAATACCCCAATCTGACGGAGATTTTCGGAAGCTTCAGAAGCGGTAATGTGATTGCTTGAATACTTCTTGCACTTGAGGGGTTGCTATGCTGAAAGTTCAGGTTTGTTTCCATGTCAACCCCGGCTTCCCTTTGGCGTGGCCGGAGGGCAGCCCTTCTTGCCTCTGTCCCCAACTCTCTAAGATGAATTTCTAGAGGAGAGAGACCATTCTGCCTAACCTGTCCTGTGCATTTGGGGGATTGCCCAGTATCCCTGGACAATCTCTAAGGAATGCTAAGGTGACGGAAATGCAAAGCCAGAGAGACCAGGTCCAACAGAAAGATAAGGAGAGTCGGGTGGAAAGAGAAAGGGATAGGGATGGAAAATCCGAAGTCTCTCTCTCTGTTAGTGCGGTATCCCACCTACTTTATATGACTCTCTCATGCAATCTTTTTTAAAAAATATTTATTTTTTAGTTGTAGTTGGACACAACACCTTTATTTCACTTGTTTGTTTTTGTATGTGGCCGAGGATCGAACCCAGGGTCTCGCACGTGCGAGGCGAGCGCTCTACCGCTGAGCCACACCCCCAGCCCCTCATGTAATCGTTAAAACCCTGTGAGGTCCTTATTGGCTGCTCTTGACACACAAGGAAACAAAGCTCAGAGTCAACTTTCTGTTTAGAAACAGAGCCAGAAGTGTGGGTTTCCTGATACAGGGCTCAAGATCTTAACCACTATTTGAACAAGGCGGCAGGAAGGCATATTGTAAAGCTGAGAGAGGAAGAAGGTACCTGGAGAGGAAGAGAGGGATCACGAAGAGTCTGAGGAAGACTGCAGCATGAAGTACGCTGAGGAGAGGGAGAGCTGTGTGGTGGGCACCTCCCCATCACGATAAAAAATACCTGAGGGAATTAAGTTATAAAGAGAGAAGGTTGATTTTGCTCACCGTTTCGGAGGGTCCAACCCACGATCAAGTCCCTGTGGCTTTGGGACTGTGGCAAGGCAGCACAGCGTACTGAGTGTGCGGCAGGACAAAGCCACTCACCTCAAGGCCAGAAAGGGAAAAGAGGAGAGACCAGAGTCACACCCCCCGTGACTTCCCACTCGGCCCCACCTCCTAAGCACAGCGCTGGGGACCAAATCCTCAACACCCGGGCTTTGGAGAGACCTTTAACATCCAAACCATAGCAACTGGGTAAACAGAGGGGAAAGAAAAAGGAGCAGGGACAAAAAAAGGCGAGAACGAGAGGGCCAGGTAGTAAAAGCACTGTCCGCTGGAGGAAAGCGTTTTGGCCAAAGTGTGTGGTTCTGGCAAGGGAAGGATCTCCAGGTCACACTCGATGGTGACATCGCCTTCAGTGGAGTCCCTGCTGTGGACGACTCCTCTGCTCCCTGACACTTCACAGCAAGGGAGTCCTCCCTAAAGACACAGGATGCCTTGAACTAAGGGGGCAGCAAAGGGAGAGTCCTCCAGGCAGGTGCAGCTGTGCCCGGGCCCTCCTCCTGGCCCCTCTGAGAGCCCGAGAGCCACAGGCCTGGGCTGGGATCCCACGTCCTCCTGCATCTGCTCCTCTCTGGTTTTGTTCTGGGTCCCTTTTGAAAATGTATTCCTTTTCTCTGTCCACTGGTTGAGATCCTTTTGCTTCTGAAATAAATAATGGAGAAGATTGTAACAAAAACCCATCACAAGCCATTCAGAGGAACAGCGTGGGGGATGCCGAGGGCCTGGGCTGGTGGGGTCAGGAGGGAAAATTTGGTGCGGCCACGTGGTCAGGTGCCAAATCTGCAGAAATGAGCAGAAACCAGAATATAAATATTCTGATCCACCTTGCTAAGGAATTTTCATTGTATCTTAATTTGCTCTAGGGAAGTATGTTTATTAAAACAGAGACCTCTGTTAAAATTATAGCATTTATATCATTGACTGAATTCTACAAAACCAAAATTAAAGAAAGTTAAATCCCTGGGTAAAAAGTCAAACTCAACTTTACATGTGAAACCATTTTGGGGGCAGATCAGGGGTTAGATGCAGTGATTACAAAATGGAATGCCCACATCAATAAATAGAAAGGAGCACAAATGGACAGATATGACCACAAATTCGTTCTAAGTCCTTGCAGGGAATGAATCACTCCATGTCCCCGTCCTCTTGGAGATCGTATATTAAGAAATATCCTGGGCTGCGGCTGAAGCTCCACAGTAGAACCACTTGCCCCAAATGCTCGAGGCCTCAGGTTCCATCCTCAACACCAAGGAAAAAGAAAGAAATCCCATTCCCTAGATACTCTGGGTCCTGATGTGTTCTCCTTCATCACTCCCAGTGGGTGCTTCCTATGGAGAGAGGAGCAGAACCACAGCCCTGCCACTCAAAGCCCCAGCAGAAAGGTACACGCTGCTGCCGCTGATCGCACCCCACCCTCCCTCACTGAGTCATCTGTCCTGTGCGCCCAGAGTCAGTGAGCCCAGAGCAGCCTTGCAGCAAATCCACGTGACCCTGGATGAACTACCCAGCACCTCTGACCCTGCCACGCCTCCCCGTGACCTAATCCAGGGAGGAAGAAGCACTCCAGGTGAGAAGCAGACCCTGCCCAGCACCCTTGTATCCCCAGCCTAGCCCACACATGCCGTGGGGCCTAGATCCCAGGGTCCTGCCCTTATAGATCATCTGGTCCTTTCCATGCACCCCTCTGCCCACACAGACCTTTCCAAAAAGGATCCCAGGCTCCGCCAGGGGGCACGATGAGACCTGGAGCCCAGAACACCTGCTTCCCATTCCTGGACATCCCAACTTTCCAAAGCCCCTGAGCCTTGGTGCTCCATCTACCCTGGGCATTTTGGTCATTCAGTGTCCTCCCTGACACCTAGTCCCTGTAACCTATGATTTTCACTCCTCCTTCAGCGCCCAGTGACAACTTAACACCTGAAAGAACTGAGGAAGAAGACTCACAAGAGACGCCCAGCACTCCCCCTGGCCCTGGGCAAGGTAACCTTGATCGGGGCTGACTTGGCTTAGCTCCAGGGGGCTGAGAAGGGAGAGCGGGCACCTGTCCACTGAGAGGCCATGGCAGGAACCTTGGACAAAAGAGCTGGGGATGACAAGGGGTGGGTGGTTCACCAACTTGAGTGCAAAGCCAAACAACAATCACATCTCTTCTGAATTGACGCGCACCTTGCACAACACCCACGTGGGAAGTGCTTACCTGGCCCCTCACCCCACCGAGTATGCGGACCTGCCTTTGTGTGTCAGCCTTATCCATTCTTCTTTGGATTGGATTATAAGAACAATGCTATGGAAATTATTATTAGAAAATATCATAAAATAAGTTGGACCCAAGTTAGCTTCTCAACTTTTGTCACTTGTTCTCCCCAAGCCATTTTTATAATGGAATTGGTTACATTAAATATTACCGTGGTCTAGTACTATTATTAATTATGTTATTGTCAAAAATGATATTGTGGGTTCTGAGCTCTCTGGTACCAGTATAATAAGGGGTCCTATTTGATCCAAATCCTGCTTCCTGTGCACCATCCCGATAAGGTTGACACAATAATCAGGAAGCTCACAACAATGGATGATTCCATCTCCAAGATTTTCAAAAGAAAAAATACTGTTATTACACTAATCAGCATCTGATTGAGAGTGAATCATTGTTCACTTCCTCACTCTGTCCCACCCTTGCCTGGGCATTGGTGCTTGGTCACCCATTATTTTTACTAGTTGGAATCAATTACTTTCCACCTCCTCACTCTGGTCCCCACTTTCTGGTCCTGGAATCTAGAATTTTTTATTTCTCTCTGGTCACTGTCCTCCAGTGACAACCAGACCCTCAAACAAAAGATGAGGAAGACCATACCCCCTCAGGCCCTATTCCAGGTTATTCTCATTTGGACCTTTTTGTGTGTACCAAGAAGGAGAGCCATTTGCATCTTCTTGGAATGGGGCTGTCCATTCTCTGAGCCGCCGTCTTGGCCCCATTCCAGCTGCTCACCCAGTGCTTAGGACAGGCAGGAGACCGGAGCTCCTGAATGGAGGCAGAGTCCCAGGGAAGGGCCTGGAGGCAGGTCTGGAAGAGGTAGGCACCAGTCATGGAGGTCAGAAGCCCCAGTATACCTGCTAAACTTGGACTCCAAGTACTATATGGCATCTGCAAAGGGAGAGCATTCCTCTGCCACAAGGGATTGTAGCGGGAACCGCAGGGGAGAAGGCCACAAGAACGGAGGCAGAGCCACTTTTATTAGGGAATGCTCAAACTGCCCTGCCGAGATGCAAAGCAAGCAGAGAAACACCAGGTGGCCTGAATGCTGAGTGGAAGGGCAATACAGATGGACCCGCCTTGCCCTCACTCACGCTGACTGGGGGGAACTCCCACCCTCAACCCTAGTCATTTTTGTATCATTTGGATTTTTGAAAGCAGATATTACTAAAGCAATGTGAAAAGTAGTAAATTGTCTCAAAAGTTCAGCAGTTGCTTATCAACACAGTCACCTGCTGCTATATAGGCAGAATTGGAGACAGAGCTCCTAGAATTGTGTAGAAAAGAAGAAAGTGGCGTCCCTACGTGGGATGGACCTTTATTTATTCTATTTCAAGTCCTCAGCAGAACTCGGTTCATATTTGCTGTGAGTAGGTGCTAGAAGTACTGCCCGCCCCTACCTTTTTCAACAATCCTCCTCTCCAACTGTGCCCTGAGCCCTCAGCCTCCTTCACTGTTTCTCAAGGTGAAATGGTCACAGGTAGAGCAGTGAGTGAATATCCATATGCTGACACCTAAGCAATAATATGTTCCTGTGGCCATCAGAATTCAAGGTCACCCATTCCCTTCACTCTCAGCTGAGTTCCCTGAGCAAGGGCTGCTGAGCCTTGTCCTTCTCTTCCTCCCAGAGAAGGATTGTCTGAAGTGGGTCCGACAGTAACCACAACTTGGCACAGTCAAGGAAGAACCCTCCGGCCTGCAGATTCCAAGGTCTGCAGGACATGCGCTCTCTCCCTTTACGGAGTCTCCCTTTGACTCCCCTGGGCACTTTCTCTTCAGCCTCTTCTGAGCTCTGAGAGGAATTTTGTGTCTTTTGTCAGTGGTGACAGAGAATTCTCCAGAGTCAAATGACCCAGAGGAGCCCCACGAGGCACCTAGCACACCTCCAAAGAAGAAAGGTAAGGATTTCCTTTCTCTTTAGATGTCAGGAGAGTGATTTTGGAGTTGCTCTCTGTGGTTCTGATCACATCTTGTCAAAAGCAACCACTACGTGTCCCTAGTCCTGATGGCCAAGACTCCACCTTCCTCAAAGGCCTTTATAGAAACTGTGACAAACCAGAAGGCATTTAGACACGTGGAAATAAGCAACTGTCAGAATCGCCTGTTCTGAAGCCCTCCGAGGCCCGTATCCACAGTTTCTTAGCGTGTTAGTCACACCAATTTCTTGAGCTGAAGGTTGCTTCTCCTGAACAGAACTGCTTCCTGGCAAGACACAGCCAGCCATTCTCTGCCATCTGTCACCCACACCTGTGGTCCACACCTCGCCACCCTAGACCCCATCCAGTCTCTTGCTCCCCATCCTCTCCTCTGAGGTTCAGCCATTCGATTAAAACACCCTTCTCTCCAGCCCTCTCATCTGTTGGCCTCCTGTCCCTCCTTAGTTGGCCTGAGGCTATGTTTCTGTCACCTCAGGTCCCACCTTAGTCCTGGATGCCTGCAGGACCCATGAGGACAGCAGATGGGCCATCCAGTCCTCTGGCCTCTCAGCCCGTCATCTGCTCATTTCCAATGACTTTTTCCTCCACAAATTCTTGGCTGCCTGTGCCCAGAGCAATCCATAGGCCTTACCATCACCCAAACAGCCCGATTTCCCAGTAATTAAGCATTCCTCTTCTGATACCTGTTCTTCAAGTTTTCTACAACTGTCCTTCAACTTCTGATCTCTCCTTCTCGGCCCAGTACTAGAATAATAATAAATTTAACAACGTCCCTCTCTGTTTTCTTCCTCACAATGTGTCCCCTCTGCAGCTGTCCTTCAGTGCTTTTGAATGTCCTGTCCACTGGCCTTTCCTCACCCCCTCACCGGCTTGGAGTCCGAGATCCACCATCTCATAGCCCGTGGCCGTCTTCCTAACCTGCCCTGCCTCTCTGTCTTCCCCCGGCCAGTCTCCAAGGAGCTTTCTTATCTGCTTCTGCACACGGCATCTGAGAGAGGGCGCTGCTGGACAGTCACAGGCCTGGACAAGTGCCCCTGCTGCGTCTTCCTGTGTAAATGACCTCACTCTGCGGGCAGGTCCTCTTCCTGCCACTGTCCTTTCAAGCCCTGCGCTGTCTTTTGCAGCTTCTCCCGTGACACTCCCCGTTACAGTAGCAGAGGAGATCCCCTCACTCCCCGCCGCCAGCCCTGACGGCCACCCTCTGCCCTCCAGTCCTCCCCTCCTCACAGTATCCGCTGTCCCTTGCTCTGTGGGTGTTCAGAGCTCTCGCACCAGGGCCGTCTGCGGCCAGGGGCCAGGGCTCGCGGCTTATCGGGGAGCTTCAGCTGCCTCCACAGCTTCCCCTTCATTTCTAGAAATGTCTTGCCTCGGCCTCTCGTCTCCGTTTCCTTTCTCTTCTCTCTTTCCTCTCTTGAGAGCCTCTTCTAACCCCACTTCTCCATTAAGCAGTATCCCCTAAGGCCACCAATGACCCCCTGGCCACTGTGGTGTCAAGACCAGAAGTAAAAACTGAGTGTCGCTGACATGTAAGGCTGGCAGATCTGTATGTATAACCATAAAAGATTCTTTATCCTTTCTTTTTAGGAAGAAAAATAAGAAGAAATATCTGGTCAACTCCAAAAAGGAGACGTCAGAAAAAAAGCTACCCGAGAGGTAATAATGAGAGGAGGCGGGACCCGCGGGGAGCTGTTCAGGTCTGTAGTTGGGAAAGGGGGTTGAATCGTATTCCAAAAGCAAGGGCGGGTCATTGAAGAGCTCTCAGCAGTCAAGGGACCTGACCTGATTTTAAATTTCACAAGAGCGAGTTTGCTGCTGTGTACAAAGTGGACTGGAGATGAGCAAGAGGCTTTCAGTTCAGGTGACAGATCACATCCCCCAGTCAAAGAATGGAAGGGGGTGGGTTTTAGTTTATGTACATGAGGGGGACCGCCATCCTTTTACCGACTAAAGGGAGAATTAAAAAATTAAAAAGCCAGGCATGGTGGCGTACACCTGTAATCCCAGAGACTCAGGAGGCTGAGGTAGGAGGATTGCAAGTTGAAGGCCCTAGATCCTATCTCAAAATAAAAAAGGGCTGGGGATGTGGCTCTTGGTAGATAACCCCGAGTTCAATCCCTGGTACCAAAAACAAAAACTTTGCTACTTTGAGATAAGATGGACAGGATCCTGGTCCTCACCCTAACCTGGTGGTATTTCCAGAGGACAGAGAAGCTACAGTCTTTGATTTTTATAGCGTACAGATGTCTCCACGTTCTGGACGTCCTCTCTCGGTACTTGTGAATTTCCAGTTTTCCTGGCACTTTGAGACTTAACCTAGGAACCCGGGGCAGCAGGAGAAGGGCAGAAAGGCAGTTCACTAGGGAGGGGAAGGGGCAGCTCTCTGTGGGCCCTAATCACAAATCACCACTTGGTCCAGAGGCAGCCTCACCTGGGCACAGAAATGAAGAGAAGCTCCCAAAGCAGGATCAGGAGACTCCAAGGAAGGATCACTCAACCTGCAGCTCGAGGGTGGTGACAAGGGCCCAGAAGGCTAGGCTCACACGTGCCTGGGCATCCAGACAGGACCGTAAGTCTGGGGAAGGAATGGCTGTCCTGGAGCAGGTACCCGGAGGGAAGGAGGGGGAGGGCAGGTCAGGGGAGAGGACCACAAGGAAAGGACCGCAAGGATGTTGGCGTGAGCGGTTGTCGGGACCGGTACGTGTGTCTACGTGTGTCGTCTGGTGCCCCTCACCTCAGCTTTGCAGCCGACCCGTAGCCCACTGATCTCGTTTTGATTGGTGGGGTCACCAGTACCCCACGCAGTGTGAGAAACTCCTTTCTGATTCCCACCCACCACTGTTGGAGGGCCACCCGCCTCGGGATGGCTACGTTCACAGGATGATTTCCTAATGGTTCACTTCTAGAAGCGAAATCACTTAGTCAACAAGTCTGCATATTCTAAATTAACACATGTTGATCATCCAGTGACCCAAATTGTTCACACTTCCGTTGACCTCATGGAGATACCCTTGACCCTGCACCTTTACAAATAATAAGACTTTTCTTTTTTCCAAACATGAAAGCACAGAACAATAACCTACTGGCTGTTCCTGAGTTTCCTCCTGCTGTGCCGGTGGCTAAATGTGCCATAGATACTGGGGTCCACAGTGTTCCCAAGCCCTAGCAGCCTCTAGAAGTGAGACACCCAGCCTGTGAACTCTGGATGTCCAGGCCCTGACTTGGCCAGTGATACGCAGACCAAAGTGAGAGGGTCACTTCCACTTTGAGAGCTGCCTGCCTCTTTCTCTCCACCGGAGAACAGCCATCTTTGGACAGAGAGGTTGCTCTGTGGCCAGGAGCCTGGAGCGTCCATGACGCAGGGCTGAGCTCCCTCTCATCTGTGATGATCAGGGAGTGCAAGAGAGAAGGAGAGCTTTGCTGCTGAAAAACAGCAGGTGGCAAACTTTTTTCCCAGTAGGGCCAAATGACCAAGCCATCTTCATCACACACGCTCAGCTCTGCCTTTGTGGAGTGTGTGTAGGCAGATGGGTGTGGCCAGCTTCCAATGAAAACTTCCTGGTGGGAGGCCAGAATGGCCCCCAGGCTGTCATTTTCTGATTTCTATAATAAATTACTGAGATTTATGAGACTTATGAATTACTGTGCCATTATCCAGCCTGTCTTCACTAATTGACCTGTTTTTTTAAAAAAATAAATAAATTTGTCAGAGTTTTTTTCTTTTGAGCATCATCTGTTTACAGTTACTAATTTTTTTTTTTTACATAGGACTATTCATTTCAAGCTTTAATCAGCTAGAGAAATCAGTCCTTTGTAGCAGATATTATAATTTGTCTTGCTTTTTGTCTTTTACTAGAGAAGCTTTTGGTGGTAGAGACGTTTTATTACCAATGTATACAGGCCAATCGGTTTATCTTTAGCAGTATGGCCAATGGTAGTCTCTCAACCTTGGCAGCCACTGACATATGGGGCCAGATAACTGTCCATAATAAGGCAGCCCTGTGCACCAAGGAATGCCTAGCAATGTCCCTGCCCCTACCTGCTGGACACCAGAAGCACCTGCTCCTTGTCCTGACAAACAAAAAAAGTCTAAATGTTGCCTGACTTCCTCGTGGAGAGGGTGGGGGTGGGGAGCCAAAATCGGCCCCCCATTGGAAGCCACTGCTTTATCTTCCTTTAAAAAGCCCTTTCTAGAACCAGGCACAGTGGCAGTGACACTCAATTGTAATCGCAGCAGCTCGGGAGACTGAGGCAGGAGGATTGCAAGTTTGAGGCCAGCCTCAGCAACTTAGTGAAACTCTTGGCAATTTAGGGAGATCCTGCTTCAAAATGAAAAGGACTTAGGATGTATTTCAGTGGTAAAGTATCCCTAGGTTCAATCCCCCGTACCAAAAAAAATGGGGGACGGGAGCCCTTTCTACATAGGATCTATAAGTCTATACAAAATATATATATATATACACATATATATATATATAAATTATGAAAATGGCTTCTCTAATACTTTCTATCTGTGACCACTTTGAGCTTGCCGTTTTCCGTAGGGCTGTAATTTTCCTTTCCAAGGGACCATACCAGATTTCTCACAATGTTGACGGGTTGGACACCAAATTCTTCACCTCCTGCCTGCCCCAGGACCCCTCTCATGTCCCAGTACTCACCCCCAAGACAAATCCCACTCACCCTCCTCCCTCTCTGTGCCCTACCCTCACATCCTCCCTTAAAGATCCCATCTTCCCTGTCCCAGCTGGCGGGGAGGGTTCCCACCACACCCCTCAGAGCCTTGTGTCCCAGCTGTAATTAATTTGCTGCCTGCCTCCTGGGGACCTTGTGAAAGTCACTGGAGGTGGCGCTGAGTGAAGCAGTCTTGCTTGTTGCTTCATGTCCTGCTCCTCTGTGCCTCACAGTTTATACTTAAATAACTAACAAATAGAAATATTATTCATTCTTCTTCATCAAGTGTGAATACCAACCAATACCAGGGCCAATTACAGTGCACCTGTGTAAACTGGAAAATGCGCCTTCCCCGATACACCTGTCAGGGTGGAGCCGTGAAACCAAGCCCTTTGCTGCCCTCTGCTGGAAGACTGATGTACTAAGCATACACAAGGATTGTGTTTCTTATGTGACTTAAAGGTCCCCCGTCAAACGTGGAATCCTTGCTCATTGTACAACCCACGACACGACACCTTGTGTATAGGCCCTGATAATACAAGTAAACGTATCACTTTACAACTGACAAAGCACTTTGTTCTACCTTTTGTCATCTAATCCTTACAATAAACGAGTGTTAAGCCCATTTTGCAGATTCAATTAAAGGGTAAAAGACATGCATGAGCTAAAATCAACCTGATTGGTTCTAATCCGAAGTCCTTTGTTCTTTACATTAGAAAACTAAATAAGCAAACCCAAGTGCCTCCTAGTTTTGTTTTGTTTTTTAACAAAACACTGGAAGAAGCAGATATATGCCAATAGTTGTCCCTCTGCCTCTGGGTCTCCACCTCCTCAGCTGTACACCTGGTTCCTATCTGTGAACGCTTTGAACTTGCTGTTTTTCCGTAGGGCTGTAATTTTCCTGTCTTAGGGACCACACCAGATTTCTCACAATGTTGGTGGGTTGGGCACCAAGCGCTTCACCTCCTGCCTGCCCCAGGACCCCTCTCATGTTCCCTGTACTCACCCCCAAGACAAATCCCGCTCACCCTCCTCCCTCTCTCTGCCCTACACCCTCACTTCCTCCCTCAAAGATCCCCTCTGCCCTGTCCCAGCTGGCGGGGTGGGTTCCCGCCACGCCCCTCGGAGCCCTGTTTCTCTTCTGCCTGGCTCTCGTCCCAGCTGTAATTAATTGTGAAAGTCACGGGAGGTCACAAGGTGAAGCAGTCTTCACTTAGACTCGTCACCTGGTATCTTCTAATTTAACGGTGTCTGTTGTTGGCCCAGTGAGGTGTCTGGTTGAGCCATTTCTCCACTCATGGGACGAGCATGACCGGGAATCAGGCACCTCTGAGTTCCATTCCCAGGCTACCTCCTACACTGTGGGCCACCAGGAACTCTCCCCAGATCTGAGCCCAAGTCCCCATCTAATAATGAGGACAGTGGTCGCCTCCTCCTTTTTACCCATTGTGTGAGGACAGTGGGCTGCCCTTCTGTTTCCTTGACCAGTACTTTTCCAGTCGCCCATCTCCCGCTCCTCCCAGCCCCGTCATGCCGGGTCACACAGCTCCCGTCCTTCCTAGGCCTCTCATCTTTCCATGCATAATTTTCACCTTGGGGTTTTTCTCTGAGATTTCCAGGAATTAGTCTTCCGCTTGCCAATTAGGGTTTTTCCATCCTGCTGCCGGCCTCTCCCGGCTTTCTTTTCGTTTCCTACCTGCTCTTCTTTGTTTCCACCCTCATTTGCTTTTGAATTGCTTCCCCCCAGGCTCCCAGCTGTTTGCTCTCACTTGCTAACGGTGATCCAAGTTCCCCTTGGAGAAGGGGCAGGTGTTGTTGGAGGGCCCCCCCCCAGGCCTTCCTGAGCCTGTTTGCTGAGCTGGGCAGGTGAAGCTGACCCAAAAAGCACTCCTGGGAACTGACCAGAGGCTGCCCTTGGGGGTAGGTGGGTGCCTTTGAAGTCCTCAGGCCTAAAGGCCCAACTCCCTGGGTGGCACCGAGGGAGGGAGAGCTGAGCCAGGGCTCTACAGGTTGGCTCCCTGCCCACACTCATCCCCTGTGAGCATCTGTGTCTGGGCCATCTGTGTCCTTAGAGCTCTGTTTACCACTGGGAGTTGGAGAAGGCATTTCTGGGACGATGGGGAGCTATAGAGGGTCCCCAGAGCTGTGCTGATTTCCCCCAGGGCTTATGACTGCACTCAAGGCTACCTGTAGCTCTGCCTTTCACCCAAGATGGGAACTGGAAGCAGAAAATCTCCCACTTAAACTTTATAACACTGAGCACCCTTAGGAGCTCCTTCTAGGAGCTGCAGAGGAGAATCACAAGCCCACCAGGTCGGGCTCCCAGGCCAGGCTCTCACCCGCTGCACCAATTTCAGGGGAGCCTGGAGACACATGAGGGAGTCCGCTGCTCCGGGAAGAGTGTGGCCGACTGTTGAAATCAAGTCTTTCTCCCCTGCAAGGTTTCCTCACGCCCATGCCCAGCCCCGCAGCCACCCTGCTCCTCCAAGGATGGGCACTTGGGCTGGCAAACCATGCTGTCATTCCTCAGGGGCCCCTCTGCTCTCAGTCTCCCTCCCTTCCCACCCCATCTCTCCTCTTTGCAGTAACTATCAGATTCTTCACTAATGACGCTGTTCTTCCTTTTCCGACAAAGCCTCGATTACTCATGTTTTCTTCTGGCTCTTCCAGTAAGTGTGTGAAACAGCACAGGGTTGGACCACTTGTTCCCTTTGACTCATTTCAGGTGGAGCCTCCTCCATAACTCAACCTGAGGCATGGGCAAGGCATGGGTAGCCCTTTCCCCTGTCCCCCAGGACACGGCCCCTGCAGAGAATTACCCCACAGTGAGGTCAGAGGGCTAGGGAGCAGGAATTGCTGACATTTATTTCAAACGCTTTTGCAACTGCTTCTCTTGAATCCAAATCCAAGATCCCTCCCTGGGGGTTCTGAGCTGCCAAATCCCCATGTGCAATTTACAAATTAATCCACGACTCTCTAGAGTTTTCTTTTATTCATAAAAGAAGAAAACAGGAAGCCATGAAATAAAAAATGAGAGCAAACACTGAAAACAGACACAGTCTCACTTAGCCAAGTCCTCGTTTGAATTAGGAATAAACTTACGAGCAAAGACTTTTTCTGCAGCTACATGATCACAAAGAAATATTCTATTTTTTTTTTTTTACAAAGAAATATTCTAGATGGGAACTTCCATCAGCACAGAGATAAGCAGGATTCTGTCGAATGCTAAAGAACATTGGGCAATGGCCAATTAACTTACAAATTAAAACACATTCAAAGTATGCCCTGTAAGTTCTTCTAAAATGCTCTGACTAGTGTGGGGCGGTGGTGGTGGTTTATTTACTGCTCACCTAACTAATCTGACACTCAGAGCAGAGCACTTCCTGTGGCTGAACCAGAGAAGCTTCCCCAATACCATTTACATTATTGTTTGTTATTATTATTGGAATCCCAGGGACAGGGAGCATTCAAGAGGAAATGTGAAGGAAAACTAACCCAAAAATGTTCTCTTCTCCTTTCAGAAAAACCTAAAGATGACCTCATGGATTTTCTGTCTCCTGAACTTCCTGTGACCTGTGGTACAGCAAAAGGGATTTTATATAAGGAGAAAATGAAGCGAGGTGAGTTCCTTGGTTATTCTGTTCTGTGGATCCCGCGGTGATAGAAGGGAAGAGAAGTGCCTGGGCAAACCATGTCCAGTTCAGGACACGGACCCTGCTGGCCAGGCTGCAGAGACAGACACGCTTCCTGTGAGGGAATTTCCAAAGGTTTCCACATCACAATCTGTCAATCAGACCTCTCCACCCCACATGGAAGTCGTCCCTGGACCTACAACCTGCTGTACATAGGTGTCACATACAATGCAAATCCTGTCGCACCCCCTCAACATGCACACAGGCTCGGTGCTCCCTTCAAGCTTAGAGAAGGGGAACCCAGACTCCCCTGCTCCTGCCCCAGCCTCACAGGAATCCCTCTGGACCCAGGAAGGTGAAGCAACACCATTGGGAGCTCAGAGGCTGGGATGAATTCTCAGAGGGTCAAGGTGGATCTCAGAATGGGCTGCCTCTTCTTCCCAGGCTCCTCCGAGAAGTGCATCCAGAATGAAGAGGGAGCGTGGTTCACACCCCAAGAATTTGCCATTAAAGGAAAAGGGAGAAATGCAAAAAACTGGAAGTGGAGTGTGCGCTGCCAAGGAAAGACCCTAAGTCAGCTGCTGGAAGTATTACAGTGACCAGAGACGGCAGGTGACGGGTTTAACCTTGGGAGGGTGAGTAGAATTTCACTAGGATTCAGCAGCATGATTTAGGAAGAGCTCAGGGCTCACAGAAAAAAGCTACAGGTGACAAAGTTAGGATGGGTGCTGATGAGGAAGACCTTCAAGGCCAGCAAAGTAGCGTGAGGGTTTAAATGCAGGGGAGGGGTAAGGGCTCTAAGAAGCTTCGTCTGGCAGTTTGGGTGGATTGGAAAGAGGGTAGCTGAAGGCTGATGCTGAACAGCCTGCCTGTGTCCTCTGCCCAGTGAACACCAGCTCACCTGGACCCTCCGGGAAGTGTTTCCAGGCCACCCTGTCACTGAGCCACCCTATGGCTCAGTGGCTAATCTCTCCTCTGCACTTCTAGGGCATACTGTTCCTGTCCTCACAACAACTGCAGAGGTACCAGTCTTTGTGACCCCAGGACCCAGCACAAAGATTCCAATAATACTCAAAAAAATTATTATGGGGATGAAATCATAAGGATTTTATCTAGAGAGGAAGAACGGAAATGGAAAGGAAGAGCTGGGAGAGAGGAACTTGGATTTAAGTAACAGGGGAAATGATTTTATCACTAAGTACAGCCCACAAGAACTGATGTGGGAGGGAGCTTCTGCTTGCCTTGGGTTTGAGATCTAGTGTGACGTCCAGGCGCAGAGATTCCTAGGAAGGAGGAAGGTCAGTATTAGCTTCCATAATAATCTCATTCATTGAGCCCTTCTCTCTTGCAGGACTCAAGAGAGGAGTAAATGGCAGGTGTTCCTACCACATTTCTGGTCGCCTTGTTAACTCTGAGCCTCTGAGTGTCCCAGCTCGAAGCCGCCCCTCACTTGGGCAGGGTGACTTCACGACAACTGCCCTAGCACCCTGCTGCCAGCACACTGCCACTGCTTTCATAGTTAATTTGGGTGGGGAAGAAAATGACTCTTCAAAATGAAAACAGGGGGCTGGGGTTGTGGCTCAGCAGTAGAGCGTTCGCTAGCATGTGTAAGGCCCTGGGTTTGAACCTCATCGCCACATAAAAATAAATAAATAAAGGTATTGTTCCAACTGCAACAAAAAAAAAATATATTTAAAAAAATGAAAATTGGGAGGACAAAAGCTGGTGATGTCCATGTGTTTTAAAAAAGATCTGGCTCATGGGTGACCGTCCTTCACTGATCACCAAGTATGGCTCAGTGGTAAGTGCTGGTTATCTGTAGCACTGGGGTGGAGTCGGGGTTTGAGCTGCGCTTTTCTTTGCAAAACCCCTCCAGGCAGCATGGCAGGCCTGTGATGGCTGTACCACCCTCTCCTCCTCGACCTTCTCTACTAGCTCGTCCACGTCCTCCAGGCTCAGGTCCCACTCGTGAGCTTCATATTAGGTGTGAACTTTCCATCTCTCCTGTCTCACCTGGGAGACTGGCCTGACCCTTGGCTGGATTCATTCGGAGTTTAAGGCACTGATTCTGCAGTGACATCTGTGGTATGAACCATCTTTTCCATGCTGATTGGAAGTACCGTGGGAATCAGGGATGCTCAGCGTAATAGCAAAAAGTTATGGAAGAACACAAACCCCATCAATATTATAAAATAAACCGATATATCTTCAGAATGAATTTTTTTTGAAAATATATGTGGGTTCCTTGGTATTGCTGTGGTTTGAATGTCCCCAAGAAAACTCATGTTGAAATTCAGTCTCCATTGTGAGGTGAACACTTAATCCAATTATGATGTGTAGAAGTATGACCTTTAGGAGGTAATTAAGGTTAACTGGGGCCATAAAGGTGGGGTCCTCGCCCAGTGGGACTGTGGCTTTATAAGAAGAAGGGGAGAGACCTGAGCTAGGACCCTCTGTCTTGCCATGTCAATATTGAATTGCCTTTGAACTTACCAGATTAGGCCCCTGATCTTATCTTGAATTTTCAATGCCCATGAACTGAATAAACCTTCATTCTTTATAGATTGCTCTGTCTGGGGCATTCCATTGTAGCAACAGAGAATGGGAAGCCACCAACAAGTTTTGAGTTAAGATTATGCTGGTAATAATGAGTCTGGTTTATGGGACTATCTAGGCCTGTGGCCAAAAATGTATCTGAAAGAATCAATTAGTTATTCTAGGGTAGGATTACAGGGACATTTGCTTTCTGTGTTATACATTTGCTTTCTGTGTTGGTACAGTTGAAATTTTTGTGATGACTCTATTATTTCTATAACCACACAAAAAATAAAGATCTTGAAAATCTAGAACATTAATAGCCGTATTATTATTGTACCTTCTAACTCTTATAATGCCGTGCATTACACATGATAGCCAGGGCACACTTGACTGGCCTCTCAGACCCGCCTACTGGCAGCCACACTGGATCAGGAGAATGAGCTTAATTCTATCCAAGGGTGGACCAAGGCAGGCCTGTCCCTGGCCACACGGTCCAGCACTCCTTACCCACAATCCTTTTCCTCTGTTAGTATGTGGATGCTAATGAGATTTCCCTGAATGTCCCTATCGTTAGTTCTATATTCGTTCTTTTTGCCAGACTAGGTTTTAATGTAATGTTCTTTCCATTTGTCTTGCTTGGGTACCCTAAGCCCTTTCAGTACACATATAGTTCCTTTTATTCTGCTTCATTAAACCTTACTGATGCAGGTTTTTTTCTAGGCTCACTTTTAAGAACATGTATTCTCCATGTGCTATCTTTTCTCAGTCCTTCCTGTTCATCATTTGCGGGGGAATGACCCCCAAATTACTACTCTTCTTACACCTTCATTATGAGACTTAAATATAACTTAATGCAATTGTAATTTGATGGTCAACATTTTAAACCTAAAGAAGCTTTAGCATTTTAATAATGCTACTTGCTGTCTATTCACCAAGACTCAAGGGACATAAACTTTGCTCAACACTTTTCTCAAGACAATAGTAGGAAAGTAGTGGAATTGACTAAGTTGTCCCCATGTGTGCCTCTGACTACCCTTCCTTATTTAGTGTGGATGGAGATGATGACCTCGGACCCTCACCCCCACCCCATAGCGAGGCAGAACCTGCCACAGTGCTCCTGGCCTCCCAGTGAGGCATGAGAGGAGTGGGTTGGTGTTTCCACGGGGTAGCTGAGGTCACAGACCAACAAGCAGAAAGTGTATGGAAGTCCCCTTGGATCCTAACTCCCAGTGTGTCCACAATAGTGTGGCCATGGCACAGATCCAGGAAGGAGCAGGGGCAATTGGAGCACCGACTCAGAAAAGCATGTAATATAACAGAATTTCCTTCATTATATGGGAAGATGGCAAATTTGACCACAAAGACTGGCCCTCTGAATGCTGCCTCAGAGGGCTCAGAGGGTGAATGTACATCCTGGAGAAGATTCCATCAGTTTAGGCTTCAGATTCCAAGTCGCCTGAGAGGCACACCAAAGATTTGCCTTCCTAGTGTAATCCAAGTGCGTTTCAACCAAAGGTCCCACTCCGGACCAGGGCACCAGTGCGCCAGCCTGCCGGGGGTTAAAAGATCCTGTGTCCTGTAATGGTTTGCATCCAGATTGTTCCTGAAATGCTTGGGTTGAAATCATGACCCCCCCAAACAGCAAGGTTCAGAGATGGGGCTTTTAGGCAAAAGACCTGCCGGCCAAAATACATTTTCCTCCTTTAAGTTATTGTTATCAGGTATTTTGGACAAAGCCGCAAAGAGCTGACTAACAAATATTCATTTGTGACCCTGCCTTCTATTCTGGCCTGGGTCAGCTGATCCAGGTCTATCTAGCTATCTGTCATCGACTTCTGGCCCTGGGCTGCTCTATACCTGGTGACGGGGTGGGTGGGGGGGAACTAAAGAGCCATTTATTTCTTCTGGGTTGGAAGTTTCAACACTAGCAGTTCAGTTGCCATGACAACCAAGAGCCCATCCCTGGGACCTTCTCTCCCATTGGCTTCCTTTGGTTGCTGCCCCACTCCTGGTTTCCAGGCTTTTCCTCCCTTGCTAGCTTTCTTATTCTGCTTAGCTCCCCTGAGCTACAGGCTCAGGCCCTCCCTCTGGGTCTCCCTGCTCAGGCCTCACCCCTGCTGGCACCCATCTTCTACACATTAAAACTCTTTATGAATCCAGTGTTGGTGACCTCCCTGCAGACAATGCCAACTGTCCCTCCCCAGGGCCTGGCTGCAGCCCTTCCCCGGGGGGGGGGGGGGGGGGGGGGGGGGGGGGGGGGGGCCTCTCTCCTCCTGCTCCAGCTGCCTTCCACTCCTGTCCTCCCTACTGCAAGCCAGCACCTGGGAGAGCCCACCTCAACTCAGGACTGCCTCCTCCCGAGACGCAGGAGTCTTTAAATGACTGTAAAATGGCTCCCTGCAGGTGAGGGCCAAGGCTGAGAACACTTTCTTATTGGGTGTAACTGGAGGAATTATATGCAAAATGTACCCCTCCAGCTGATATCAGAAATCCCACCTTGAAAAATGCACTTAGGAGCCAGAAAGTCACTGTCTGCTGACCGAGTGCAGCTGAGCTGGGGGAGGGGCAGACCTCGTTGGCCAGCAGCATCTGAGCTGACTCTATTTCTCATTTGTGCTCCAAGTTCAGGCCCTGCAGAGCAAGCTCATGTCCAGGGTGGTTATGGGAGTCTGTAGCTGGTGAGCCCCGTGAGTCCTGGACTCTCTTTTTCCCTTTCTGGGCCCCAAGGACCCTGACTGCTTCTCTCTCCTCCCACTCTATCCCATATAATTCCTCTCCTCCCGAAATTGGGTGTGTGAGCTGCAGGAGTCCCAGCTCTCCCTTCTGTAATTGTGCCTAAAAAAGAAAAGAAAAGAAAAAGCATAGACACTGATGGTTTTAACATTCACTTCACTGGAGTGACAGGCAAAGCGATGGAATCCAAGTAGCCATGGTCTTGTCCACCTCTCTCTGCTTTCAAGTGCACCTCTGCATCTTGCATCTCTGGAGCCATGTGTAAAAAGAACACTACCAGTGAAGTCCTCCAGCACAGGACTTCTTTGGGAGCATGGTACCCCACTGGAAAAGATCAGAACTAAGATATATTGGCATAGGGACAGTCCTGGTGGGGGTGGCTATTAAAGCCTGGTCTTTCTGCCCTCAAGTGGGGGTTCTGGAAGCCAGCAAAAGGTGTGCAACGAGGTTAACGGGCATATCTTTGTACTTAGCAGCAGAGAGAACTGGAGGTCCTCCAATACATACTAACACCCTGTGGGAGCTGAATCGCCTCCTCCTAAGAAGGCAGAAGATTGGCCCCAACCAGCACAGCAAATGTGTGGTGGGAGGCAAGCCCCTCACATACTGATTTACTACATTTTCCCAGATAACCCACAGGTCAGATGTGGTGTTTCTGTACCTGATCTTGATTCAGTTTCTATTCAGAGCCAATGCCTAATATCAACACCATCCCAGCTTCCAGCTCTTCCCAGCAGTTTACCCTGCACCCTCCGGGCCTGGATCTGAGCTGTTTGGAGAAGGCACAGAGAAGCAGGCATAGAAGAGGTTTTCCTTCTCTCTCAGGCAGGCACAGAACTCAGTTCCAAGTAGTGGGTACCCTGGGCGTCTTCAAAAAACTACAGTGCAACCCCACCACCAGAGGGCAGTGTGAAGGCTGAAAGTAACTGGGTAATTAAAATTCTGCAAGAAATTGGGTACTGGGTATGGAACTCAGGGGCACTTTGCCACTGGGCTACATCCTCTGCCTTTGTTTTTTTATTTTGGGACAAGGCCTCGCAAAGTTGCTGAGAGTCTCGCTAAATTGCCCAGGCTGGCCTGGGACCTGAGGTCCTCCTGCTCAGCCTCCCAAGTCTCTGGGATCACAGGCTGTGCCACCGCACCCAGCTACAGTAAAGCCTTTAAAGGGGGTGAAGATGCTTTCAATGGCTCTGTCACTGAGCGTCCAGAGACAGGAGAGCCAGCCAAGAACGTGAGGCAGATCCCACCAAGATTAGGCTGGCCAGGATCCATGAGCAGAACCGTTGTGGTTAGGCACAGGCTTGTGAGGATTTGCTTATGTGACCAAAGATCGCTTCTGTCCTTTGTCATGAGTCTAAAGCCCCACAGTAGCATAAGGGAACGACTGAGATGCTATCCGTGGTGCAGGTGGGAGGAGGGTATGCCATCGCTTTTCATTTAAACAGGTTGGGGACCTGTGGCAGGCCCAGGTGAGATGGCCAACAGCCAGCTCAGCCCTGCACCCTAGATCCTCTCACATGCATCGACTTCTCACTGTCCCACTGTCCAGGCTTCTGGGGGATCTGCAGTCAGGGAGCGGGTTGAGTGAATGCTGTTCTCAGGGGATGAAGGGAGGGAGGAATGTGTAAGGAGATGGGGGTGCTTCACCTTAGGTCCCAGTTTCTATCCTACAAAACCTAAAATCAAAACCCACTTACCCTGAAGAGTGGATTTCCTTCCTCATCCCCAGGTAAGGGTCACAGTTCTCTGTAGCAGACAGAGCCCTCCTGCTTCACTTTCTTCAGTTTAACCCTCTGACCTGGTCTGATTCACCAAACATCATGTCTCGGGGGCTACTAAACCTGTCTCAGGCTTCCCTAGGCTAGAACACCTGCCCTCAGCCCTGGGCTATACAAGGTTTTCTTTCACTGACAGGCAAAGGAAGGTACCCAACCCCAGATGAGCCATCTGAATTTCTCAGAAGGGAAGAGGAGATGCCATTGATCCCCCAACTTAAGCCAAGTGCCTGGCATTCAATGAAGCCATCTCACCATGGCATGAGATAAGGAAATTCCCTTCCCTCCATCTGTGCTGTCCCAGGGTCCACCCCACGAGGGACCCTGGAGCTGAGCTCCCATCCTGCTGCCTGGACACTACAGCACAGGTGACCTACTTCTGCCACACTGGACAGAATCAAGGACCCCAGGAAAGGTCAGACAGGATGATACCCAGAGGGAACCACAACCCAGCTCCAGCCGGGGAGGCCATCCACCAGCTGGGTAGACAGAGGGGAGCTCCTGAGGGTGCAGATCCTGAGACGAGACTTCTTCTGTTCTTGGGGGCACGGGAACCCTTTTGAGAAAGGGAAGGAGGGCCGTGTTTTTCTCAGAGACACTCACAGCGAGGCCTCTTTCTACCTCCTCCCTACCCCACCACTCACGGCTTTCCAGGGTGGAAATTGCTCACCTGTTTAGCCCTGGTGACAATCTAGACTTGAGGCAGGAAGCTGGTGTCCCGAGCCATTACTACAGACTCAGTCTGAGGTGCAGTTAGATTCAATCAAATCTATTTTATTGATGCTCATCACACTTCAGACACA